TAATGAGTAATGCATTTTATGGACAGTAATGTACATATTTATTACTATTAATAAAAAATTGAGGAATAGATTAGACAGGAATTATTCCTCTAAATACAAAATTTACTTTATTCTATTCGATGATTTTTTGATATTATTGCATAGAAATCTACCAAAAATAAATCGATTCTTGTTCTCAAGTACTAATAATGATTCTAACTAACTAATTTTTGTCGGAATAAAGAAATGATCTACCTATCTTGAGTAAAAAAAAATTGATTATATAATCAATAATTCACTTTTACGTACAACCTTCGGCATCAAATCAAGACCTTGACAATTAAGTATCAATATTTATTAAGAGACCCCCCACAGGAAGTTATAATCTACTATAATACTATGTATCATGATGGTTGTAGAAACAATTATTGAAACTAATCAAATACTATCAGTATCACACTGACATTATTCCATTTGCAAAAAAAAAAAAATGATTAGTTTATTCAAAAATATAATTTCATATTTGAAATTCATAGTACAAAAATATTTAAAAAAAACAAATATGAATATTTCAAAAATCTTATGTTCTAGTATCAAAAAGTATCATTTGCATAGTGAGATCTATCGAATTCGTTCTTTTTAGTAAACTTAAATGTTCTTAAAAATGAAAATGGTTTTTATTTGAGTGACTACTAAAGTATACAATACTTAACACTCGCATTTGGTGCCTCTGTGCGTTACATTTGCACCCATAAACTCAAGTTTACCTTAGTTAGTTTTGCCTATGATTATTGATCATAATGGTAAAAACTTTATATGTGTTTATTCCATGGTTTATGTTATGTCGTGTTCATATAAATCGCTTAAAAATTAAAATTTTGTAAAAAATCCTTCGTGAGGACACAGTTGATGATTTTTCTTTATTTTATTAAATATTGTTTCCAATCTATACAATAGAACCTATAAAAAGAAAATTAGATAGTATTGATAATGGTTAGTGACAGGGGATTATCACATTATTCACATTTATGTTCAGGCACTCAGCAGTCACTAGTCAGTGTCACCGCTGCCACTCGACCTGATAGATGATGTTCTAATCATTACATTCGATCATGACTCATGTTAAAACTAACCAAGCTAAATGTCAACTTCTGAGTGAAAAAGTAGTATGTTACGCACTAGTAGGATGCATTCTAATAGACAACAAATTTACAAATCGAAACGATCCGTGTAAGAAACCATAAAATTTCACTCTTCAAAACTTTTCAGAAAACACAATTTTGATTTTTGGAGCTATCTTGTATTCACTGAAACTTACTTGAACTAGTTCAATTTAATATTCTCCTGGAGCTATTTGGGTTTTCGCCAGAAAAATGCAATATCAGACAGCTCCAAGTACGATGTATTATTTCCTATACGGGTTGTTGGATCTGTCTCTTCTTGCAAATTTATACTCGTAACATTTTTTTATTCATCGAATTTTAACTAAACCGGATTTTTTTTATGGAAATGGATTTTACTTGTATTTGCACGGACCAATTCAATTTGGGTGTCCTTTAACTTGTAAATATAATTAATGACTAATAACAGTGGCGACACATAAGCTTAAGTTGGGAAGATATTGTGAGACGTTGGAAAAAATGAATAAACCAGGCATAATTACAGACAAACAAACAGTAAATATTAAAAATCAACCGAAAAAACGAATTTGCGGTGGTGAATGACGCTACGATAACTGAGCTAGTAACGATTACTAAAAAATAAAACGATACAAAAGTATGAACAACGAGACATGTCTCGTAGAACAATGATAACGCGCACCTTTTTTTTATGTTCCCCTGCACACCGCTCCTATTAAATTAAGACCAATTCTCGACATCGTTTCATATCTATTTTTATACTGTACTTGGATGTTTGGGTACCGGATTGTCCCACCAAACCGGTAACTATTGACTTTTTCAAGAATACTATACCAACAAAATAGATTTTGACAAACGTTAACATATTATATGTAACTATATTATCAGTATAACAATCGAATTGGTTTAAAAATAATATTTTATTTAAATATAATAAAACAAAATTATTCGTCAGTATTTTCTATCGGTTTGTAGACATAGTCTTATCGCTTCCTAATTCCTATAGGTAACGTTTAGGCCGTTTAGCCTCTGATTATTATGATTATTGATTATGCTGCAAGTATACAGTTTTTGTTTGTGAACCTTATTCTAAAATATCGAGGTGACTTTCCTCCAATATATTTTTTTAAGTCTTAAGTATTTTTTTTTTCTTAAAAGATATTTATATATTGTATACTCAATACAATAGTAGCGTATTTTGGTTATTCAAAACTAAAATCAATCTCACCAAAAAGTATCATATTCATATCAAATGTTTAATTCAGCAGCCTGCAATACATTTTATTTCAGTGTCTGAAATAATGTACATTGTTATACGTTACATTCAATTAATGCCTGGGAAATCGTGCTTATGAAGGACGCATTTAGAGATAGTTGAACTTTTCCAACAAAACATGTTCTAACCATTTGTTATTGTACATTGCACACTGGTCACAACAGTCACATAAATGATTCTTAAGATTATTCCTTAAAAATAAATACATACATTTGAATATAGACACTACCTAAATCATTATTATTATTTGGGCTTTTTGAAATAATTTTTTTAATCCTTAATAATATTGTACACATTTAATATTTTGAATACATATTAAACGTATAAGAGACATTTGTTAAAAACATGCTAAAATTATTTATGCAGATTTTCATGTTTATTTTCGTGAATGAAACCTTGTTTTTGAAAAAAATTCATGATTAAGATAAGTACCTAATTGAGTTATTGGGAGTGACTTGTTAATTTCATAAAAAATGTATTGAAATATCTCAAAAAGATCAATCATTTTTTTGTTTATACTTCGTGTACCTTCATTTTATATTGAATGCCAAATAAAATGTTCCTGTAATACTGTAACACACAAGTCTAATAGAAATCAGATGTTGATCAGTTGTCAGTTATACCTATAGAATTTCTTACTTCAGAATAGCTGTACATTATTTTTAAACGGATTTCAATTTATCAATATCTATTAGTATTTAATACAATATTATTGTAAACATTAGTATTGTTGCACTTATTTTTTTTCGTTTAAAACGAAAGCAGAGGAGGATCTGTTTGAACACTATACTACTCCTCAAGTATTGTTGCACTTGGAAAAATGTGTTGACAATAGGTACTTGTTGAATGTATTAATATGTATTTATACTCACTGCTTTATAGTATGTATTAAAATAATTTAAAAATATCGATTGAACACAATATTTAATTTGAAAGTTAAGACAAATCTCAGTTAAGATATGTCCTATTATAAAATAATTTTTAACAATACAACAATAGTTTTTAAATTGTTTTAATTGTAATAATTAATAAATAATACTATATTGTAGTATAAATATTAGTAAATAATAAATATATTTAACTGGTGTGTTTATTACATAATAGGTACTAATAATAATATACTATTTATGTGTTTAGAACGATTTTTTAATTGAAAAATCTTTATTCCAACACGAAAATCAGAGCATTTTATTTCAGACAAACAATTATAAATAATTTATAAGTTGAAAATGTTAAGTGTTTTGTGTGCCTGTGTTAAAATAAATATAATATAATACACAATATTGATTCACTCGAACAAAATGTACAATATCGTTATAAACAAAACGATGAAACCAGAAAACTTCGCATAAAAAATAAAAAATAAAATAGATTTGTGTGAGTCAACAATAGATAACATAGGTAATATATTTTCATAAAATGTGATTTTTATAATGTTCAAAATGTATACATCGTCAAAAAAAAAAAAATTATAATATCTTAAGTCTACACTAAATTGTTTTAAAAAAACAATGCGATTAGTGTGCGATAGCAGATCGTAATTACTTTTTTTAATATTATTTTTATTATTATTATTATCATAGCACCAAATGATTCAACTGTAATAACTTCTATAGTTATAGTTCTTGCATTATTATAAAAATTACTACGATAAAAATATCTGACAATTAACACCAATATAATTTTAATTACTAAAATAAATAGACTACATACGATATATTTAACACAGATAGTATCGTGTACAAATAATAATTAATTATTATATTATATAGTATTATAATAGTGAATTTCGTGTGTTAAGGCTTTAAGGGTATGAGTCGAAACAGATTTCGAGAATTCGGTTAGCCGAGTTTTGGTTAGTTAAATCGATTACACATTACCTATAATACTATATATTATGTATATTTCTATGTATATGTGTAAGGTATATATTTACTAGCCCACCTTATTTAATTTATGATTAAAATGTATAAGGTGAAACGTTTCACAGCACTGTGCTCGATTTTTATATTGACAATAAAAACGTAATAATATTAAGTGATAATTCACTGAAAAATGCCTTCTAACTTCTAAAATCTCCTATAAGACAAAAATAGGTAATATTGTAACGAAGGACTTCGGGGATGGGGACGGTATAGATAAGGCCACAAGTTTACAGTAGAATATTATGTACCTAAAGGGAGAAAAACATAAGGTTGTTATTATATAGTATATTATACATAATAATATAATATTTATAATAACATTTTAATAACAAGACCTGACTAGTTAATCACAAAAAAAATCATAATAATACTTTTGAGTAATAAATTAACGAGGGTGGTTATGTAACTTAAATGCTGGTATAACTTAATCAAAATTACATTTAAATAAATAATTTAATTTATATAAATATATATAGTTATAGTTATAATATTCAAACTCAAGGTTAGTGAACTACATAAGTTTTATTATTATTTTTTTTTTTTAATTATTTTTTTTTTTAACAATTATAAGTATTTAGTACCTTTTGATCTACGCGTAATAATTGTTTTGTTAGTTTTATATAATATAAATAAATATAAATCTATCTATTAATATTATGTGGGTTTACATAAATATATATATATATATTATTTATCAATATCTAATACATGTTTTCTATATATAGTGATACGATATACTTTAGATACGTTAAGGCACACGTGTCGATACATGAAAAACGTACGAATAAATAAAAACAAATAAATAAATAACGCGGATCCGGTGCCGCGGAACTCGGACATAAAATTTATATCAGACGGACAAAATGAATCGCCGCCACTGCGTCGTCACCGAGTGGTATGTGTACGGTGGTGATGGTGGTGGTGATGGTGGTGGTGATGGTGGTGGGTTAGGTGCCTCGCGTAAGCCATACAAAGACGACGGGTTGGTTTTTTTTATTTTTTTGACAATTCATTTTTTTATCTCGTGTGTGTTGCGTTAAATCTTATGACATTATATATTATTATAGTGACTTAAAGACGGCGTTGATGGACATAACGTATTACGGTCATACGATGGAGTGCGGGGGTGGTGGTCGTGTCGATCAGGTGCGCGGCCGTGTTTACATGAGCTTCTGCTTGGCGCATTCCGGGCAAATGATGTCTTCGGCGTCGGTGATGAAGCCCCTGCCAACCAGCGAGGTCTTGCAGGAGGCGCAGATGAAACAATCGTTGTGCCAGTGGCGATCCTCGAACGAGATGAATCTAGTGCCGCCGATTCCTGCGGGACAGAACGCCAAATATAGTATTGTGTTTTGTGTTTTTTTTTTTTTTTTAAGGAATTAATTTATAGAGGTCCATTGAGATCGGCTATATCGGTGTAGAGTAATGTAATACAATAACATGACGAGTGCCCGTTTACGAAGCCTGGGCGTAAAAGAGCCGAAAAGTTGAAGTTAAATTGAGCTTAACTTTTTTATTTTCGTTGACTAAATGTTTAACTAAACTGGTTATTATTGTTATAAACTTAATAAATAACGAGTTACTTTTTATCAAATCCAAGTCACGTTATTCAAAAAATAATTAAACAATTAATATGATACAATTAATATTGATGATACATATTGCATACACATGTACTTTATGTTAATTTAAACCGTATTTAGTGGCTATTTCTATATATAAAAAAAAAAAAACTTAACTTAAACTAATAAGTTGATATTTAAGTTTCCATATAACGTTGAACATAACTGAGTTAAAAAAAAATAACGACAACTATTGACTTATACTTTTTAAAGTGTTTTCTATCAACTTAACTCAGCTCAATTAAAAATTATCATTAACTTGCCCAGGCTTGACATTTAGACGCGAATAGAGAATTACATCAACGGGTGTGCAACCACACTTTTCGGTATTTTTACATCGTTTTGAGGAACAGGAATTGTGTATAGGATTCATTATGGCCTAATTCAACATATTATATTATCACTCAAAAATTAGAAGAGGGGTCTTGCGTCGAAAATAATTCATGACAATAATATGTTTCTCCGATATCGTTCAGGAACACCTCCAAATACATGACACGAGTTTCGGTGAGTACGTACCTGTAATCGGTTTTACACATGAAGTGCACCTTTTGGCGAACAACTCTCCAAAGCAATCTCCACAGTACGGCTTTTCGTCTCTGGACGTGAAACGCTGTCCAGCCAGCGACGTGCTGCAATGGCTACACGTGAAGCATTCCCTGTGCCAAGGTTCGTTTTTATATGTCACTCCGCCACTAGTGATAATCTGTTACACACGAACAACGGTTGATTAAGTATACATAAAAATATGATCAATTATTATTGTCAAGATTTAAGATGACATCACGCACCCGATATTTAAGGGGTTTTGTATAGGCAATTTTAGTTCAATTTAAAAAAAACCACGGTCATCCACCAATATTTTGCTGTTGTATTTCGTATCTCTTCGATTGAATACAAAGCGCAGAAAAACCTACCCAATCTATAGCTATTTCAGGTGGGAGTACTATAACTACAGATGACAGAAGACGAAAATAAAAATTAATTAAATTCACTTGTAGGTATGCTGATTTTTTTTCCAAATACAGTATATAGATATCATGGACCGTGGTGGCCTTTAATGTGTTTTTATAAACCAATTTGAATAAAATATAAGTATAACTATCTACATTGTTGCAATTTATTTTTGTGCTATTAAAGTAAAATTAATAAGAGTCAATTAAGTCAATTCAATTAGGAAACGTATCTTTCATTTTTTTTTTTTTAAGGATAAAAAAACATAATGTCCTTCGTTATGTCGACAATCCGCTCTCAATTGTACTCAAATGTATTCCATCGATACAATTCGGTTGTTAACTACCTGCTGGGGGTGGTAATAAAAATAAATATAAAGTGAAGCCGAAAACACGCAAGAACTCATTAAGTCATAACGACGTAAAGAGCACTGTATGTACTCGAACTGTACTCGTTGAACGACGAACGTACACTACGTCCCCGCCTCTGCACGAATACGTTTTAAAATCATTTTCCTGAATTAACCGTAATGAAAAGAAAAAATATATTCATTTGATTTGTATAAGTATTCAAAAAAAAAATATGTCGTTTGTAGAATATAGAATTTCGCTACGGATTGTGGTGATGTCGAATCGAAATTAAAATAGCAGCCGGGTCGTAGTTTTTATCTTAGTACCTTTGATAATAGTAGGTACTAGTGAATAAGACGGCTTGCATCATAATATTATATTTTAAAATCTAATACATTATTATCAGACGGGCAAAAATGAATCTTCGGGCGCGTGTCGCGTTGCAGCGAAAAAAATGAACCTTCGCTTCAAAATAATTCTGTTATTCTACGACACCGTACCTTGTCACACTTAACGCAGCGGGTCGAGAACTTTTCCTCGTAGCAAGTGGCGCAGTAAACTTCCTGTTCCCTGGGTATAAAGCTCTTGGTGCCGATGGCCGACTTGCACACAACGCAGCTGAAACATTTCTCGTGCCACTGTCTGGTCTTGTACTCCATCTTTTTCGTTCCTGAGGTTAGAATAAAACCAATGCATATTATAATATTATCATACGAATAAAAAAATAAAATAATATCACAAGACCTACAAATATTATCAATTATTATGACACGTATACGCATCGCGACGGTACTCGGTACGTTGTAATAATTATATCGTTTTCTAAAGTATTATATTATAATATTAATATACAATTTTCCCATCTTTAGCATTGCGTCCTATTGCCTCGATAGAACTCCAGCGGGACGTTATATGGTGCCGTTTGTTTTTTAAATTTTAAATTCATTAAAAAAATTGTGAACAATTTTTCGTATCCTAATTAAAATTATACTTTTATAACGAGACAAAAATTGTATCAACATTTTTTGGATACATAAAAGAAATTTGTCTGTGCTTATAAATATTATACTAACAATATATACATTACTCCCATGTGCCTGCGGTATCATACGCACTTAACTATATTGTCTAGGGTTTTTTTATCATTTATCCCCCTCTCCCCCCCCCCACACACACACATGGATGAATCATGTTTAGGCCACTGCATAATAATACTGTCTGCGGTGCCCGAAGACCGGCGAAAAAAAATCAATCCATATGATAATATAGAGTTTAACGAGAATCGCCCACAGAGCAGTACCTATAGTCGTACCTTCATCGCCGCGGCTGTTCGCGATTGCCCACGCAGCGGTGGGTAAACTTGATAGGATGTGGAAACGACTAGGATTCGCGCTGTCGAAAATATTATTATGTTTCCTTCCGCGGGTCCTTCGCTCCCACGGTCCCGCGGAGTGAAATGCGTGTGTTATGCGATTGTCGTCCCACGGCCAGAGAGATATTATTAATTTTGTTTACCAGTTATGCAATTATTGGCCGACGATTAACGCGACTTGTTCTCCTGTACCGCGCGGGACGACCGCCTCGTCTGAACCCGGCAAATAATTTCTTATTCATCCCCTCCTCTCTTGCCCTCCTATTTTTGTTTTAACCAAATCTAATTTGCTTATTGCATATTACTATAAATACATACTGCAAATAAACCTTTTTTTTATTAGAATAAGTTATTTGCACATCGAGTAAAATTGACAGAACGACCACATCTCTTGCTGCAGGTCTTCCTCGGAAGCGTGACTTTCTTTCTCCGTCGCTCTCACTCTCCTCGTCGCATTCGCCGGTATACCGTCATCGACTAAACTACACATGCCTTTTCACACCCACGAACACACTCACAATCGTTGTTACTCAACTCGATAACGGAAGTAAACGGCAGTGAACGATGCTACCATTCAATATTATATTATACCATCTCGACCGCGGTTGCCGAGTGTTCGATAATAATATAAATAATAACAATAATAATAATAATTGTTGCGATTCACGGAAGAACGTGAACGGTGACCGATCGTTGCGCATATATGGCTAGTGTATTTTTTTCTTATTAATTTTCGAGTCTTTTCGACGAGAACGAGAGAAACGTAATAATAATAACAACAACAACATTCAGTGTAATAAACTGATCAATATAATATTACAGAGTTATATTATTATCTATACATATATCTGCAGTTAGTTATCATAGTCGTAGTACCTACGTAGACCAGTTATTTCCTTTTAGCAACATCCACGGGATCCAATTTCGCAGACTCGACCTTAGAGTTATGTTAAAATGCAGATCAAGGCCGTTGAAAAAAATAATATAATATATCTTATATACGGTCTGGCGAGCTTAACGAAGTGTACACGGAATGATCGGTTAAGTGTAGTTATTGTCCCCCGGATATAATATATATGCGATAATGATGGTGGCTGCGATTGTTTCGTTTTTTCGACGGATATATGTAACGTAGGTACGAACGGAGACAATAGTAAGGACGCAAATTACGCCCACGGGACCAACTACGAATCGCCGTTGTCTCGAGATATTGAAAATTCGCGCTCCAAGGTTTTACGATTGGCATCAATGGTATCTTAGAGGAAATTCAGGCGATCACGATTGAAAATCGCCACTCCTATACCCATTAATGTCTTAAGATTAACCAGGAAAATGTTTTATCTTCACTAAACTGTCGAAATCACGGTTGATGCGATTTCGGAAAACGCATTTTGCTGTCGAAGAAAGTTTTATTTTAACAACACAAAAACTTTAAGCCTGTGTACATTTCAAATTTTCAACCGCAAAATATAAATCATTACAGATTAATAAATATAAAGGTAGATAGAAAAATGTAGAATAACAATAAAAATACTTAGGTAACTGCACGATAATATTCAATAGTGTAATTTTACTTATAGTTTTATATCGCATAGTCCACACATTCAAAAAAACTATATTTTTTTTTGCATACGTTGTATAAACTACCGATTATTGTTAAGAAATGCACGTTTAATGAAAAAGTGTAAATAGGTAGAATTTTTTTTTTAGTTTGTTTTTAACCAAGGTAATTTTAATTTTGTGATTATCATAAATACATACTAAATATTAAATACAAAAATATATCATACCTAAAATCACTAATGTCATAAGTTTCAAATATTTAATGGTACATTAAAAATTTCAGCCATATGATGTTATTTTTGGTAATAAAAAATCTAATTCCTTAACAGTAATTCTATGGTAGATTATGAAACAACGTACATACATAAATATAGCCATAAAACTGAATTTTAAGTTGGTGCCTTGAACCTTTAATAATTATTGTATACAAATATTTATACTGGGTGATCTATTAATCTATGTTATATTTATTTCTTCAGTACCACTTTTTACTTTTTTGAGCAACAATTTTTCTTTTCTTTTGTAGTTAAACACCTATAATCATATTACTAAGATTTTCCCAAAGTCTTACGTTTTGAAATGGATACAAATAATTTTATAATTCTATAGTCAGATATAGAATTACATTACTAAAATATTTACATATATATCAAAAAAAATATCCAACAATTAGATTTTGTTTATAAGAATTTAAAATTTTGAGAAGTGAACTTTGTGCAATTGTGCATCACAAATTAACTAGTTACCCCTACCCTTCCAGTACTCCATATAGATTCTGTAGTACCTCACTACACTATCTCTCGGAAATTTTGATTTTAAACATAAAACGTATACAACGGTATTAGAATGAACACATACTACACATAATGTACTAATTTGGCAATTTTGTACATTTAAAAAAATACATATTAAAGTTTGGATGTTTTAAAGAATGCACAAGTGCCAGTGAATGTAGATAAAGTATTTTTGGTAAATTTAAAGAGAAATTTCTAACTATAATTACCATTATATCCATATATTATAAAAAATATGTGATTAGGTGCCCGATCATGTATGGCAAACAGATGGTTAAGATTATTATAACCACCATATATGGTGATTTTCATACGTCATAATATTATTATTATAATAAGACACAAAAATAAATTTCATTTTAGACTGTAAAACATACATGAGTCATCGGTAACCGGTAAGAGTACGTATTTTATTTTCCACACAGTAAATAGCACAGAATTGACGGCCAAATAAAAAAAAAAACCATTTACCGGCCACGATTGAGATTCGCACGTCGATAATCATCTGTTATACACTGCAGTCCAAAGTTGCAGTTTTTTCGAACTGCATACAGATTTAGTGCGACGAATAACGCTTTGAACGTTAAATCGATCGACGTTACGCGTCGAAGAGAATATAGTTAAAAAATATGAGAAAAAAAATGAAAAAAATCTGTCCAGTAGTCGTGATACAACAGGTCGCCGAGATCTTTCGTCCGACTATAAAATATGTTATGAAGACGGACCGTGCAGGGTTGTTAATAGTCGAACGAGTATATATTTTTGTACAGTGGTTCTACCTGGAGGGGTGGCTTTGGGGTCTCCCAGTCTGCAGTCCAGTTTCAACGAACATTCGAACGCCTTGTTTTTCGTTATGGACTCGGGGCTCATCAGGAATTCCGGTAGAAATGACGACAGGATGGCCACGTCGTCGTCGCCCGGATCCTTTTTGGGCGTGCTGGTCTTCAGCGTGATGTTACCGAACTTGCTGGTCATTACGTCCACGGACATGTTTGCACTGGTACTGAACCAAAAGCGCGTGACAAACGACGACGAGCACCGAGTACGGACGTAATAATATACTTGACGTACCTATCTCTCCCCCCCCCTCGAGCGCGCGCGCCCCACCGCCGCCGGGACACCGGGTGACCTTTCCGACCTGCCCACGGTGTAAGTATAATACTAAATAGATATAGGTACACCTCCGTCCGTTGGGTACGAAGATAATGATATTATTATTACTATTATTGTTGTTGTATTATTATGATATTGGTATATATTGCCATCATCGGATACCGTTTTCGGTTCCGGGGCGGGCTGGAGATGGAAGGGGGGGGGGAGCGATCAAAAACCCATAAAGGATAAAATTCGTATGCGTCGGAACCAGGAACCGTGGTCGACACAATTAGAGGCGGTTCTACCCATATAACATTACCAGACATCGGTTACCATCCATCACGGTATATAGTATAATAATAATATGACAAAACGTCGCGGTCGACTCGTAGGACGTGATACCCGTAAATTATAAGTAATATACATAGGTACTGCCTACTTCTGTCCAACGGGCATTGTAGCGAAATCCCAAAATCAACATTGCAGCATCTGGATTAGTATTATTATATTGGAATTGAAACGCCCATCGAAAAATCCGAAGATGATGCGATATTTTCGTGGTAATGTCATATCATTACATCGAGCTGGTAAAATATCGAACTAACTAATACTTTAAACGATATATTCGACTATAGAAATATGAGTAATAATTTAGTATGTATAGACAATACCCATCTTCTTCGTCGGAAAACATTTTATAAGAACCATAATGACACTACATTATCTCTCGAAATTAAGCTTGTAATGCGTTGTTGAACTTGGCTGGGTACACAACCCGTTGGATTAACGGAAACAGCTAGTCTATACACTATACTGGAATAATCAAGTCGTCGTAAGTACATAATATTATACTATACGATGGACGGAATGTCTCACCCGCCATCACAACAACGTTATAAGTACGGATTATTGTTATTATTAGGTATGTATACCTACGACGGACGTCAAACCGCGCGGACTTATCGTTTCGACCTTGGACGCACGCGACTTATCGAGAAGAAAACGCATAAAACGTTAATGATGCAGCAATATCAAACGATGATGTCACCTGCACCATTACAGAGCATATAATATACACTTATAAGAATGGTGTTTTTTAATCAACAAACAGTGCCGACTTGTATTATTTCACTACTCTCGCAACACACGCGGATCGAAGAACGTGCGCCCACGTGTTTGTTTTATTTTTTCAAACGATTCTGTGCAGATAGTTTCACGATTCTCTGTTGGTGCATCACCGCGGTCGAGCCACCGTGTAGGACGTCGAAAAAGAGAATTCATATCATAACAACTTTGGATTCGCGGTCTGAGAGGTACGAGTAGGTATAGGTAGTAAACAGTCCCCACACCAGCGTGGTACGACATAATATTATCATACGAATTCGATGCGTAAGGAGAGAAAGTTTTGAAAGGTACATTATACTGAAAACGATTAAAATATATTATTTAAATTATCTTTGAAACGCTCGATAGCGCAGTGACAAAAGCCACGCATTGAGTCCTGAAAGGCAGTGATCGATGAAAAACACACACACAATCCCACAGGTGGCGCTCAACGCCGCGTAGAACGCTATTTTCTGGTTTCTGCATTATGCGGTTTATGAGTCCAACAGAATAATAACATAACCGAACGCACAATATTGATCTATTGACAAAGTGCGTAGTGAATTTTCATAAATCGCCTAATCGAATTAGACATAATATTACGTCCAAGTGAATAGGTTCCTAAAACGGTAATCATATTTGAGCCACAGGTAATTACCACATTCGATTTCGTCTAAATATATAATATTATAGTATAGAGATAGCTATGGTGCAATGTGTATGAAATACCAATAAATATTAATTATTGTCGATGAGACAACATAATATTATATCAGGGATTACTAATGAATAATAATATTAAGAAACATCACAGACTGATACGTATTTGTATTAAAAAAAATAATAAAAACAAAAATCAACTAATATAAGGTTCATATAAGGTCCTATAGAAAGCTTAAACTAGGTACATGATTTCTGCGAAAAACGTTCGATCATATTTTAGAAAACATTAAATGGGACAATGGATTAATGATCAATTGGATCAATATATTTTGTGTTGTCTAGAATTAACAAGGTGAGTTGGATAAGATGTTTAATGAATCGTGTCACCTCGTATAATATTATATTATTTGTTAATGATGTTGAACCATACATTTAGTAAAGCCCGTTCTCAATATTTACTTTTGATTTTTTTTTATCATTATTGTGCGTCGTTTAAATACTGCAACGCCTTCAGCAATGATACGTTTTAACATAGATATGATTTTGGGCGAATTATTTTTCTAACAGACTTTTGATTTTTTAATGCTTTATTTACTACCAAATTTACCATACCCAAAAATATATATCACGACTCCTCAATTTTTCCTCGGAAAAGAAAAATACCTGTTTGTATGATATTTGCAATCAATTCGAAAGACATTTTTCCACGTACAGCCGGTACCAACGCGACATGCAGTATTATTCGTCTTTGAAATATCCTCGTTTTAATATAGGTATAAACCATGAATTACCTGCGCGGAATATATCTCCACAACCGTCGCATCTAGCAGCGAACTGAGTGTCGTAGCAATTTCCGCAATAGATTTTCTCCACTTTCGATCCAAACTGTTTGTCCACCAACGAGACGCGACATTTGCTGCACAAGAAACAAGCTTCGTGCCAATGTTTATCCTTGTACGACAAATCCTGAGGAAAATAATATTACATCGTTACAGCCGCGGTATTGTCATGACGTCACAACGGGTTATGGATTAGAAATATGTCCGGAAGTCGACACTCGGAGACTCGGCCGTTCTAATCATATGAACCAGTTCGGCGGACTTGCTTACTTTAGAGTCGATTCCGATGGTCTTGTCGCATTCGTCGCAAGGGTTGGCGAACACAGATTCGTAGCATTTGATGCAATACGGATGGTCGTCTCTGAGCACATACCTCTGTCCTGTTAACGATTCGTCACATTGCCAGCAACAGAAGTGACCGGAATGCCAGTCCTTGTTCATAGCCTTGGTGTATTCTCCACTGAAAATTAGCTGAAAAAAACAAACAAAAACAATCAATATAATTTACGGAAAACAATAAATTATTTATAAACGACGATGTTATAAGTACGACGGTGACGACTGACTATATTATTATAATATTATGTAATGTATATCAATTCGACTAATGCAAATTCGTACCAATATTTTTTCATTCAAATAAAACACCACAATACAAACGTATTATATTATTCAACGAGAACCGTCATCGGTTCCAAAAGAGAACTTTTTTTTTTTAAGCAAACGGTTCCGTAAAATAATATGTATTATTTCATCAAACACACAATGATTCAACGGTCTAGTGGATATCGGCAGAATGCTCAAACACAGATATTAATTGCCCGTTTATTGTTTAACGAATTTACTGGTGTTAGTAGACCTAAATGCGTATATGATTAATAATACTGTACTGAGGATTAATTGTAACGGAATTCGACGAAGCATTAAAAATATTATTCCAAGAATTATTATTCGAGCATCGCCGAATTATTACCAAACATCCATCATGTTTATTTTTTTTTTAAACAAAAAACTATAATTGGACTCTAAGGTCTTTTTGAGCAATATGTACGACCCCCCGCGGCAGGTATTATGCGTTGTTCCATTTATATTGGTTTTGACGGTTTCCCCGCGAATTGTCTGTGACTCTGAATTGAAGCTAATAATGAAGTCGTCACACTTCGATTCTTTTTTTAGAACTTTTTAGAAAATGTCAGAGTTGAACAATTTGCTAAAAAAATAATCAAACCAACAAACAGGTACAGACACCACGCCCGCATAAAATGTTGTCTTTTCACGCGATCGTAGTATTACTCGTACATTGGTCGTATCTTTTGACCTTTCAATTCAAACGCGCCAATATCATCGAGGTCGTGGAGTTCACAAGTATCAAATTTTATTTTATTATAAATCGTCAAAATAACCTATGTTATCATATTAAGTCGAATATGATGGTACAATAAACCTAAATCTAAAGACATTCTGCAGACCACTCTCAAAGTCTCAACCCTGAGTGTCCTCGACCATCAGACTGGGGACATGATGGACAATACCCTTTTTCATATTATTACGTTTGATCAACAACACTAATTATGAAAACATTTTTTCATCATTGTAATAACTATGGTTATTAAAAATACAAATTGCATCGGTATTAATATTATTGATATTGGTTAGTTGGGTAGTATATTATGAATTAAAAATGAATCCATGTAAATGCAATATACCTATCAAAATATTTTTAATGTTGAAAGGTTTCCAATATCAAAATTAATATCCCAAGACACAATCAGAAATAATTGATTAACGTTTTGATTACATTTCTCTTTTTTTTTTATTTCAAAAAGATAATAAACCTTGGAATAGTGCCATATAAAATCTATTCATTTTTATTACAAATATTATGTAGAATAATTTAGTATTTTCTAAAAAAGGGCTGTTACACAAACGATATGTATTCAAATATTAATAGGTTTATTATAAATAGATAAATATTTAAACTTTATTCAAAAATATCTATACTGTGTATCTATTCACTCAAAAGTCACAAGTAATCAAGATCTCATCTAAAAATTCGATATCTTTAACGTTTTTCTTGAAAATTATCTGACATATTAACAACAAAATGACTTGTACCAGTATCTTATTTGTAAAAACTTGCACTTTATAAAGGTACAAAATAAAACGTTTAACCTATTTACCCGCAAACAGTCTTTTCTCGAAAATAAAAATCACACATTCTTGTACAGCCATTCATTCGTTGTTTGCATTCAGAATCTATAACTAGGTACTTATAGTTATTATAATTTGGTTGAAAAAACCATATTTTTGTTTATAATAATTTCAATACAATACAGTGATTCATAATATGTATAACTATACATTCTATAGCTTACATGAAGCAATTAAATTTTTTTTTTTTTGATATAATTGTTGTGCAATATTCATTTTTTTAGTTTTTCAACGGATTTTGCATAAAGAAGAATAAATGCAAGAAAGCTTTTACTGGAAATGACAATGAGTTGCTAATCAGTATTTACCCAAGTTTATTTGACTTTTATTGGAACGCGTCGAAGACCGGGTTTTAAATATATAACTAGCATGAAAATATTTTTAAAAATCGGAAATGTTGACAAATCCAGAGAATGTTCTATGCATCTCGGATGTTGTTCTGATTTTAATTCTTTTAAACGAGAATTTCTGTCGTATTGTGCTGTACGTTTTTATTTTATTTTTTACGATCATGCGGAATATTAATAGCTAATTCCTATGCACCGTTTAATGCACCACGGTCTATTTTGAAAATTAAATTCATGGACCGAAACCATTTTATATTTAAACATAGAGAGAGAGTATATCATAAATGGGGAGAAAAATGTGAAAAAATGCATCTACTTTGCACCGACTTTTCTACCGCATTGTACAATATGAGTGAATAACCTTTAATATGGATATTGAACACAAAAACATAAAATGAGATTAATACTACAATTATTGTTGAAAAAACTCAATAATTTATTTATATCGAAAGCACGTCATGTACATTTAACTGCTGAAATCCAATGCTTTATTTCTCACTTAAACCAATGAATAACTTATAAGGATAATTTTAATTACACATTGTATTATAATATACAATATGTGACACCATAAAAAAATCAATAAATTGTTATTTTCTTCGTAGCTATGAACAGATGGCGTTTTTATTAATTACCAGATAGGTATATTATGGTATACGTAGTTATAATTAAGTTCCCATAAGAAGTAAACGATAATAATATTGTTTATGTCGTTTGAAGCCATTTGTAAATCTGTCGAACCGAGCGTGTTTACAACTTGACATAAAAAAAAAATTATGACTACCACGAGCCAAAGATAATTACATTAATTATTGTGTATTCTACTTGTTTTCGAAATTAGAGTGGTACCTAATGTTAATAGTTGCCATTTACTAATTTATGACAAAAATAGTCCTGACCTAATAGATTAATGTTATTAAGATACTAATTACTTAGGTAACTAAATAATAAATAACTTATTATTTTTATATTCAAATATCAATGAAAAAAAGTAAATTGAAAATTAATTTTTTAAAAACTTAAAATAAATAAACATCTGTTATGATGGATTTTGTTCAATTTAACAATAATATGCCAAAAACCGAATATGTATATTTTAGTAGAAATTCGGTACACATACGTAATACATAGAAGAATGAGTTTTTAACAAAAACATTTGAAATAACAAAAAATATTTTTCTGCCTTGATAAATAAACGTTTTTCTAATAAATCTGTGACGGATAATTTTTATTTATAAAATATTTCAAATTTCATGTTTTTCTCTAAAAATGATAAATAATTAATTCATGCTGTACGAAGACGATTAGTGTCAAAATGAAAATTACAGTTGTAAATCGTAATTATTACAAAATTTACCTAATATATTTTAATAGTAAAGTATTTTCCGGGCACCGCGTAGCTATGTTTGACATCTGGGTAAAACCACTAATATCGTAGCAATATGACGTTTGGTTGGATATTTGTTAAATTGAATATAAAAAAACTCAAATTTAATTGTATAATGCTATGAATATCATTAATATGAATTATTTAAAGGATTTAAATTAACTTTTTGAAATCAATAAGAAACAAAAACTACATGAGGTAGCACAATTAATTTTTTAGCCAAACGAATGTGAAAATAATTTTATTATTATACATGATTTTGACTGATTTTGAAAACAACATTTTTAATAAAAAGGGATAAATACGTCCTAAGTGTATGCGCCTAATAATATAATTGTTAATATTAAATGTTATTACTAATTAGTGTTAATAATATATTATATTATTAACATAAGTACCAACTCATAAATTAACTATTATTAATTACATATAGATTTACTTGATTTTTTCTGTTTCGTCACAATAATATAGGTATATTACAGTGTCTGTTCAGATTTATATCTTATAAATATTACCATTTAAACGTTATTTGAACTATTATAACTGGGACAGAATTATAAATGTTTCGCAACCGTGAATAAGTTTCTGTACCATCACATAATTACGTTACTAAACCGATGTGTGTTTTAATTTAAAATTGTAATAAATCATACGTTTGTATAACAGCGAATTGTAATGTTACGATAACAATAATATATCAATACTTTTTCTTACCAATAATATATTTGTCAGACAAGAGGCATTTTCCGATCACAAGTGAAATAAAACAGTGTTGAAATGTGGTGAAAAAAAATGTTTTTAACCATTAAAAGTTTTTACGAAAATGTAATAAAAACATACATTTACTGAGTTGTGTTTTTAAAATACCAAAGTAAACAATGACGTGAGATAAAATAATTATAATTGCAGATTTTTTTTTTTTTAATTAAGGGGCTCTCGGAAAATACCTCTTGTCGTCGTGACCATTTTCCAATGGATACACGTTTTCTTTATCCAATTCGGTGATGGTAACTTCGCCCTGATCATTGCTCTCTCTCCTCTTATTCGAAGAAGAAGTTTTTTTGGTTTTCCTGACTTTTCTCTCGGTGGTTGTAAACTGGTATTCTACGTCAGCCATGTTAATGTGGTTTTTGAATTATAGTTTTTTAAAACGAAGTAAACAATTAAACGAAAACGTCTAAAGTGAGACGAACTTGCAAGTAAACTAAATGATTATGATCAAAAGAAAATGCGAGTTTCCCAATACGTCTAGGCTGCAGCAATCACACGTTCAGACTGCGAATATAGCGTTTCGGCTGGGACGGCGTGTGCAGTGCACTGTCCTCTGCGGTGGGAGAATGTTTCCACCCGAAAATCTATTTTTAAACTAAATCCGAATGAAAACTTCGGACAGGAAATGTGGTCTATGACATTAATCTTACTAGATGATGTGTATCCCTAGCAGAATATCACGGGATAAAAATATTATCTCCCAATCGAACATTAAAAATATATCGTCTTTTTAATATTATTTATAGTTAAATCAT